GCCGTTGGAGGGGTGAACTGGTGCCATTCATTACTGATTGGTCTTATGCAGAGGTCTTCAAACTTGGCCCTTTGATGACTTGTGGACTTCAACTCCCAGAACTCCTTGCCTGGCTGAGGAATTCTGGGAGTTGAAGTCCACAAGTCATCAAAGGGCCAAGTTTGAAGACCCCTGAGCTAGAACATAGAGAGTTGGAAGGGACACCTTTGGAGGTCATCTAGCCCAACCCCCTGCTCAAGCAGAAGCGTCTATACCAGGGGTGCCTGGCTGAGGAATTCTGGGAGTTGAAGTCCAAAAGTCATAAAAGGGCCAAGTTTGAAGACCCTTGATCTTATGTATAATATTTGCTTATATAGCTCTATTTGACCATTATATTGGGTTCTTATGGCATTTATAGATATATATATATAGCTGTGCTATAAGCCACCATGGGCCTCCTGAACAGCAGTTGGAATAAATCTAATAAATAAATAACTGGGGCGCAGTACTATCTGGGCCTTTCCCTACCCGTTTTAAAAGTTCCAGATCTGAGTTTCTCAACTGAGCAAGGGATTGGGCTAAACTGCCTTCAAAGTCTAATCTCCTGCACCAAGCCCTTGCTTCTGAACTAGGAAGAAGGACCCAGATCTTATTTCTGAGACGAAGGGGGTATCACTCGAAGTAAAACGATGACTCCAGCTAGACCTTGTGGTGTATAATCCAATCTGAGTTATTTCCTGTTGAAATTCTGGTTTCCTTTCCTGCACGAACATCAGTCTGAAAGTTTGTGCATGCAGGCCTTGCGAGTCTGTGTACAGGCACACACAAGGTAAACAACATGATGGGACCCACTTAATGAACACCATACTGCTTGCAGAAGCAGTCCAAACTTTCCTAAGTTTGTAATTTCCCCAGTGCCTTTTCTGATCTGGCCTAAGTTTAGTCTCCAAAAGTTAAGCCATGTTTTTTTTACAACAACCCACCGCAGTCTGGTTTACACAGTCGGAAGTTTTCAGAGCTAAGGTAAGCCACACAAGACCAGATACACTAAGGCTTAGTGGAATGTGTGAAGGCAAGCTATCCCTGCCCCTTTGAAGATCCTACCTCCTCCCTGAATAATTTCCTAGTCACCAGTCTGGATTGGCATCACATCCCAAGGAATGCACCTCTCTCTTGTGTACACCCAGAGAGAGTTCAAAGTCCACATGATTTAAATGAGCAAAAATGCAGCTGAGTCCACTGGATTGGAATGAATGAATGGAGGAGATATTTCTGTTTGGAACCATGCCAATCGTCTCTCTACCCACACCCGTCAAGGTGTGTTTTTTTTCCTCCCCTCTGTTCTTTCTAATCTTCATTTCCTTCTTACAGCTCCCTATGCTGAAGTCCCAGATTATTTTTCATGGCTGCAGTCAGAGACGCTACCCTGATGGGAAACTGGTATGAAGTTAGTCAAACTAGGAATAGGAAATATATATATATATATATTGCACGAGCAGATGGGCTGGGAAACAGAAAGAAGAGATAAATAGAAAAAAAGAGTATACAGTTCTAGACCAATGGGCCACGTGCTTTCTTCTAGATCAAATACTTCCAGCGTTATGTCTTTGCAAAGTGAGCTTTATTTTAGCTGAATAAGCCAGGATTATGTAGGAAGCACCCCACCTGCTATTCAGCAGACCACAATTACTTTCAGAAACCTTTAATTAACCAACATGCCTTGATCTGAATGTCACAGTAAACTACAATTTCCTGGTTCAGGATCTTAAGCTTTCTTAGTTTTACAACGAGCTCAGATCTTGACGCTTCTTAGCTTAATCCTCAAACTAAGCATAGAAATTGGCTTAAGATAGTGATACGTTCCAAATTTGACTGACCTGGTTTCCCAATTTGGGTCCAAGAAAATTGGGCGGGGGGGGGAGGAAGGTGTCTCCCAAGTGCAGAGTCACAAAATCAAGATTGGAGCAGTTGACACCTCTAATAAACAGATAGATCTATGATGTCAGCAGCCATAACTGAAAATCAACTTTGACCCAGAATTCTGTGCAACTCAGGCCATTCTAGCTTGTTTTGATACGGTGTAAACTGCAAACCTGGTTTAAGATACATCAAAGATGTTTTGATTTATGGGGTAAAGGAGGTGTCTGCATATTTTGCATTATCAAGAGTCAGTCCCTCAATGTGCCAGGATGCTCAGTCTGTAGCCTTGAGGGCTCTCTGCACTAACATATATCAGCTTAGGAAATTAATATTTTTTTAGTGTCATGTCCCATCACCAGCTTTCCTGTGGAAAACAGATTATCCCTTGTAGCACCTGCCTAAAAGACAATAAAGGTTTGCAGCCAAAATCAAGATTCTATCATGCTTTAAATATTCCAACTATTTTCTATACATTATCTCTCTTTTCCTAAGAGGAAAATCAGAGGAAATGCAGTCCTCCTTACTACCCACAAGTTACACAATTTTACACACACACACACACACACACCCCTGATTATTATTCTGCTTTAAAGTCTGATTTTGGGGTTATATGTATTTTTACACTGCTCTTTAAGATAAGTATACATTGCAGGAAATAACAAAACAAGTCAATGTTACAAATCAGAAAGCCATAAAACGAACATTTTTTAAAATGTATCCAATAAAACAAAACACTTTCTAGGAACCCAAGGGAAATTCAATGAAACTTTAATAGACATCTTCTAGGGACTTCTATCTTTCACACCAGAAGAAAATTCCACAGATGCATATGGGATTTATTCTCTGGAATATAAAACCCACAGAAGTGGGCAACATTTAGGACTGGGGACAATGTCTTAATATGTCCCTATTCTCTCCGACCTATTAAGAGAGGCTACCAAATTGTTTGTCTAGCCTGGCAACTTTAAGAAGTGTGGACTTCAACTCCCAGAATTCCCCAACCAGCAAGGAACTCTGGGAGTTGAAGTCCACATGTTGAGGTTGAGCAACCCTGTACAACCCCCCCCCTCCCAATCCTTCTCCAAAATGCTATTTCCTTCTTGTCAAAACTAATCTGAATTTGGTACCTTGGTCAGAAAGCTGCAAAGGCCAAACGTATGAAGCTTGTTACAAGTCTGAAGTCGTCCGGTTATGGATGGCATTTTGTGTGTGTGTATGTGTGTGTGTGCTTTGCTCAGAAAGCAGCTCAAAGGAGGAACGAGGAGGAAAAGACAGGCGGGAAAGTTTATTGCTGCTCCAGCAGAATTCCAGAAGTTGTCTTAATATTTTGCTCACAGAGGGAATAAATGCGTCGCCTGCTACCATACCTGGGAAAATCCCATTTGCCGCCCACGTTACATATATTTTATATATTAACTCTAAACCGATGGCATTTTGACCTGTTGTCTGGCTGTAGAATCTATGCAGGTCGTCCTCGACTTACAACAGTTCATTTAGTGACCGTTCCAAGTCAGAACAAACTTGGAAAAAGTCACTTATGACCATTTTTCACACTGACGGCCGTTGCAGCCTCAGACCCTTGGTAATTGGCTCATATATATGATGGTCGTAGTGTCCCGGGGTTACGTGATCCCCTTTTGCGGCCTTTTGTGGTTGTTAAGCTGAGGACTAACTGTATTCCAGCTGCCTCTGCAAAGAAGCTCAAACGATACCGGCTGATTTTTTAAAATCAGAATTTATGGACTACATTCTCTGCCGTAACAGCTCTCTAAAACAAGGGATAATAAGCAATACATGCACAGCATGGTATGGCAGAGAGCGTACAAATATTGTGGTTTGTGTTTTTTTTAAATAATAATCATAGGTTGGAAAGCAAATACAGAGAAAAGGAAAGAGGCAATCAAGCCGGAATGTGTAACTCTGAGCACATTCCAGTTCTTAAAATGCTTCAGGAATTTATTTTAGAGTTTTGGAGCTTACTGTTAAACACACACCCCTAAGCACACACACACACACAGTTGTTATGAATGAGAGACACACAATGTCGGTCAGGATTAACAACAAAAAAAAAAGCCCGAAGCTGTATGCAGAGATTCATAGAGTTACCAATCTTAACAGGTTTTTTTTTTTTAAGTATGTTGAAATCTGGGCTGTTTCCCCCAAATCTTGGGCTGGGATAGGACACAAGTTCCTTATAGGACTTTATATATTATTGGAATGTTTCCCGTTTGCGTCGTACGTCATTCTTTTCTTTGTTTTTATAATTCTCACAGTTTGTACTAATGTATGCCACCCAGAGTCTTTATGGAGTTGGGTGGCCTATGAAATTTGACAAGCGAGTACAAATTGCAGGAAATCAAAAACACACCATGGGATATATCTTGGCCTGTTGTGAGAGTGTTTGGCTTTTTTTTTTTAAAGGTTCTAGTCCTTATTATTATAACACAGGAGATTTGTAGTAAATTCTGAAGTAAATGGGTGGCCCAAGGGCCTGGGCTTGATTGCTAGGAGTTCCTAACGGCCTAATATGATTTTAGGTGTTCCCACGATTAATCAGAGCAGAGTAGAGGTAGTTCTTGACTTACAACGGTTCATTCAAAGTTACAACGGCACTGAAAAAAGGGACTTAGGACCGTCTTTCACACTTAAGACCGTCGCAGCATCCCCAGGGTCAGGTGATCAAAATTCAGAGGTATGTGTTTCACTTCGAGAGCGGGCAACTAAATTTCATTTTTGATGTGTGCCGTTGTGCCCACAGTAAAAAGAAAAAATGACAATAAAGGTTATCTTATCTTATCTTATCTTATCTTATCTTATCATCTTATCTTATCTTATGTTCATATTTATGATAGTTGCAGTGTCCCAGGGTCCTGCAATCCCCTTCTGACAAGCCAATCAATGGGATTCGCTTAACGACCGTGTCCCTAACTTAACAGTTGCTATGATCCACTTAACAAGTGTGGCAAGAAGGATTGTAAACTCGCTTAACAAATGTCTCCCTTAGCAACGGAAAATTTGGTGCTCGACTGCGGTCGTAAAATGAGGTCTAGCGGTAAAGTGGTAAAGCAGGCAAGGCTGCAAATCCTGAACCCAGGACTCACCTTCCACGCAGTGTTCCACCTCTTCCAGGTTGCGCAACGTAATCCTCATCAGGCTGGAGTTGAGCATCAGTTCGTTCTTGTGCGTGGGCCACATGTAGTGTGGGGCGGGATTAACGAAGAAAATCCGGGTGTCCCCTGTGGAGACCTGGTTGTCGCAGATTAAGGGGTCTCCAAACCCCCCAATCATCACCTTGTTCCCGCCATCCAGGAGGATCTCGTGAGTCACCACGTCTTTCCCCTTCAGGTACCTCCACACCCTCACCTGAAGAAGGGAGGAGAAATTAAAAGAAGGGGACGTTAGAAGGAACGCCGAGATTGTGACTCCTGTCCTGTGCGGTTGCTAACAGTTGACAACAACTTGATGGCGGCAGCGGCGGCAGCAGAACTGCAATCGAAAGAACGTCATAAAACCCCACTTTTTATTATAGCATCTCTCTTTTTAAAGATTAGAACCCACAGCTTCGTAGCCGTGAAGTTTCAGCCGGCAATTATCTTCTTCTTCGGCGTCGTTTCTCTCCCTAAAATCCTCTGAAGCCAGTTGAATTAAAACCATAAACAACAAACCGAACAAAATAAAACTGGCAAAAAGAGGTAGGGACATATATATAAAGGAGTGACGCAAAAAAACCCCAAGCCGCGTGAAGAAGGAAGGACAAGGGAGGGCATCGTGGAGTCAAAATGAAACGCTTAAAAAAAACAACAACGAAGAAATGAGACAAAGGGGGGGGAATTATTATCAATCAGGGGAGGAATTAAAACATTGCCACCCATTCCCTTACAATGAACATTCACAATCTAGAAAACAGCATGGGTGGTGGAAAAAGGAAGCAAGGCCTTTGGGATGTCATTCATTACTGGTTGATCTTCTGCAGGGGTCTTCAAACGTGGCCCTTTGATGACTTGTGGACTTCAACTCCCAGAATTCCTCAGCCAGGCTGAGGAATTCTGGGAGCTGAAGTCCACAAGTCATCAAAGGGCCACGTTTGAAGACCCTTGGGTTAGAAGTCTCCAAGGTCCCTTCCAAGCTTATTATTCCATGTTCTAATATTTTCCTTGCAGTCCTCGCTTTGAGCGCGAATCCTGCCTTTGCCGCGGACGGAAAGAAGGGCATTTGCAGACTTGCCATGCCCAGAATATTTCTGCCTGGCGGCTGAGCTCCTCGTGCAGAGAGGTAAGGAACAGACAAATACTTCTCAGCATCAAGAAGCAAACACTAGACATTCCTCAAGTTTGACCTGACCGAGGCTGGCACTTTCCTAGCCAGGAAGACCAACGTCGTCTGGAAGAATGAGAAGACGGAAGAAATGGCCCCACAAAGCCCACAAAGTTAAGATGGGGAGAAACAGACTCAGGCTCAACCCTTCCAAGACAGAGTGGCTGTGGTTGCCGGCTCCCAGGCATAGTCAACTGACTCCGTCGCTGACTATAGGGGGTGAAACGTTGGCCCCCTCGGAGAGGGTGCGCAATTTGGGTGTCCTCCTGGATCCACGGCTGACACTGGAAGACCAGTTGACGGCTGTGGCCAGGGGGGCGTTTTACCGGGTACGCCTGGTGCACCAGTTGCGGCCTTTTCTGGACCAGGATGCCTTGCGCACAGTCACCCATGCTCTTGTCACCTCCCGCCTGGACTACTGCAATGCTCTCTACATGGGGCTCCCCTTGAAGAGCACTCGGAGGCTCCAGTTAGTCCAGAATGCAGCTGCGTGGGCGGTGATGGGAGGGACTCGTCGCTCCCATGTAACGCCGCTGCTACGCGAGCTGCACTGGCTGCCGGTGGCCTTCCAGGTGCGCTTCAAGGTGTTGATTATCATCTTTAAAGCGCGCCATGACATCGGACCTGGCTACCTCCGAGACCGCCTTCTGCCACAGATTACCTCTCACCGGCCAATACGCTCCCACAGAGAGGGTCTCCTCAGGGTGCTGTCAACCAGACAGTGCCGGCTGGCGACCCCCAGGGGGAGGGCATTCTCTGTTGGAGCCCCCACCCTCTGGAACGAACTACCCCCAGAGATCCGGGTGATTCCGGATCTCCCCTCCTTCCGCCGCGCCCTCAAGAATTGGTTGTTTCAGCGGGCAGGACTGGCCTTAGGGGTATTTTAAATTCGGTTTTTAAATAATTTTAAAAAAGAAAGGCCTATATTAATATTTTTATTTTAACCACATTTTAAATTTGTATATTGTATTGTTATTCCGTTTTAAACTGGCTGTAAGCCGCCCTGAGTCCACTAGGAGAAGGGCGGGATATAAATGTGATTAATAAATAAATAAATAAATAAATAAAAAGACGCCGGAGTTAACCGGAACCACACTTGGTGAGAAACCGTTCCAAGAAAGGGAGAAGGCCTTGGCATCGGCTGCCTACACTTTGCTCCAGATTCAAGTCGCAGCAGGAGGAAGCGGGAGAACCCACAACCTAGTAGAAGCACACAAATGGCCCCACCTCATTTCTTGGCAAAACAAGGGAAGATTAGGAATCGGAGAGGCCCAGGATGTGCATAGCTTGATGGAGAAAAATGTCTGCAAGCAGATTTTTTCTGCCAAGGTTGGAGCCAAGGCTGGGCTATTCCCCACCTGTTCCTCTCAGCTTTTCTGGGAAGAGAAGTTTTTTTTTTCTCTCTCTCCCTAAATGCAAGTAAAGGAATGCCTGGAGTTGCTGACCCACGCCAATCGGTAACATGTTATTTTATTTAAAAATATTTAGAAGTTTGGAAGGTGAGGTGAAGGCAATGGCTTTGTAGATAAGAGCGATATGCAAACAGCACCGATTTTAGCTAGCCAAACATTTTGCTAAACAAATCAAGCACTTTACTATTATTTAAACACATATCACAACCACCAAACCATCCCCCCTTTAGCAACTGTGTCCTTTGCACTCAAGGAAGGCATATTTCTCTGGGAATTTAAAGATTATCTATCACCATCCTAACCCAATCACACCAATACCTTCCTTCCTGTAGCGCTCTTAAAGTATGCTTGTAACTACAAACCCCATTGTCCTCACTAACAGATTGTAAAACTCTTTTGCAACTGTGTGTGTGTATGTGTGTGTGTGTGTGTGTGTGTGTGTGTTGGGTGGAAATGTAAAGCAATCTGTTCTGCGTTTCACTCCAGTCTAGGAGCATCTTTTGCAGGCAGACTTTGCTACTGTGAACACTGTAAATTCAAAATTTTGTGACTCTTTGTCAGTCACAAAACTTTGAATATATATATATATACACAATAGGGAGTTCAGACAGATCAGTCTGATTGTGAACACCTTGACATTTTCAACTGCATACTGCAGTTTTACTCTTTTTATAGTATCTCTTGCCTTGCCGCCCCCAACTAGGGGCATAGAGCAGGCTCAAGTCGCAACTGCGAAGTATTTTTTATATCCAAATTTCTTTTTTTTTTTTTTTTTTNATAGATAGATAGATAGATAGATAGATAGATAGATAGTTATAAAATATAATATAGTTATACAATACTGTATTGATTAGATAAGTTCACTATGTTATGAGAGAGAGAGAGAGAGAGAGAGAGAGAGAGAGAGAGAGAGAGAGAGAGAGAGAGAGAGATACACACACAATAATACCGTATTAATTAGATAAGGTCGTATCAGACTCCAAACCCAGAACAATAAGTCCTATATATATAAAATATGGTTATATGGACACCAAGTGAAATTACCTTTTCTGGATCAATAAAAAGGTCTCCAGGCTTTCTGCCACAATATTGAATAAATAGGTACAGCTCATTTTATTTTCCTCAATCTAGTCTACTTCATGGGGCCGTTTTGAGGATAAAAACAGGGGAGGCATACATGCCACCCTGACCTTTATGAAGAAAATAAATGAACTTTTACAATAATGAATGAATGCAGGCGCGAAACTGAACTAAAAAACACGCAACTCTGAGCTACCTTAAGGCCTGTAAACTAGGCATCATTTTTGCCTTATGAATATGTTGCCAGGAATCAGCCAAGGACTAAAGATTTCCAGAGATTTATTTTCTGACCTGGCTGGGAGGGAGAAGGAAGGAGAGAATCACTAAACAGCCAGCTCAGGAAAGTTAAAACCACCCCCTACTACCATCACCGGAGGCTGGGGGAAATTAACATGAACCGCACTAAACCCTTTTTGAGAGATTCCTTTTGGATACACACAGAGGATTTTAAAAAAAAAACAAAAAAAAAAGGTGGGAAGGGAGAATCCTAAGAGGATCAAGTCTGAGCAAAGGTGATACCAGCAACAAGAGATTTTTAAGACAAGAGAGAGGTGGAGGAAAAATGCTTTTAAGAAGTAGCTGAAATTCACATCGCAGGGGGGAGCATTAAGAAGGAAGCCAGCCACTTCAGGGAATTACCCATTAAGAACCCTGCAGGGTTAACTGGAGGGGTCTCCAATTTTTTTGAAGGGGCAGCCTTTTCTAAAGATGTTTTCCTTGGCAGACTGCTGGCACGTTTATTCGCATCACCATCTTACAGCACCTAGGACTTTGCAAAGTGGCGTTTGTTTCATTGCCACATTGTTATGCCACACGTATTATTGGACTCTGGATGGGGTGCCAAACTACTCAAGGAAATAAAACCACCACAAAGCCCACCTCCTCCTTGATATAGAGTAGAGCAACTTCCCAGACAGTAAAGCCATTAAACCAGGAGTCCCCAACCCCCCCGGTACTGGGCCGCGGCATGCCAGCAACCGGTACGCACAAACAAGCATACCCCCTTCTGTGGGATGTGCAGGCACCACACAAAATCACGCACTCTCCGGTCCGTGGAAAAACCTCTCTCCATGGAACCGGTCCCCGGTGTCCAAAAGGTTGGGGATCTCTGCCTTAAACCATAGGATTCTTAGAGAAGCTGATTGATTTCAAACCGTTCCAACACAGCTTGTCAAATAAACCACCACTGGAGGGTTGGTGCAACATCCCCAGGCAGCAAACCATGGGGCGTTTTTTTGGTGCTGCGATAGTGGTTGGATTTGTGCCAGGTTTGGTACTGAAAATCCTCGTTAACTGAAGGTTCAGTTGAAGACTGAATGGAATTCAATTGAAGATTGACTGAAAATGCAGGGATTGTAATACACCCTTGTAAATCTGAACATCGGTGACCTTAATGGTAGATTTCTTTCATAAGGTGCATTTACTTATCTTGGGGGTGTGTGTGGGTATTTGGACTTAACCACACAGTTAAGAGCAGCTGCCAAAAAGGCCAACACAGTGCTAGGCTGCATTAACAGAGGGATAGAATCAAGATCACGTGAAGTGTTAATACCACTTTACAAGGCCTTGGTAAGGCCACACCTGGAATACTGCATCCAGTGTTGGTCACCACGATGTAAAAAAGATGTTGAGACTCTAGAAAGAGTACAGAGAAGAGCAACAAAGATGATGAGGGGACTGGAGGCTAAAGCATACAAGGAACGGCTGCTGGAATTGGGTATGTCCAGTTTAATGAAGAGAAGGACGAGGGGGGACATGATAGCAGTCTTCCAGTATCTCAGGGGCTGCCCCGAAGAAGAGGGAGTCAAGCTATTCTCCAAAGCGCCTGAAGGCAGGACAAGAAGCAATGGATGGAGACTAATCAAGGAGAGAAGCAACCTAGAACTAAGGAGAAATTTCCTGACAGTTAGAACAATTAACCAGTGGAACAGCCTGCCACCAGAAGGCCGTGAATGCTCCAACATTAGAGATTTTTAAGAAAAGACTGGACAGCCATTTGTCTGAAATGGTATAGGATTTCCTGCCTGAGCAGAGGGTTGGACTAGATGACCTCCAAGGTCCCTTCCAACTTTTATTATTATTATTACTTATTTAAAGTTTCAGATCACTCAGCCTCAAAGTGACAAGTCTTTCTTTCATGCCTCTCCTTTGCCATGGGGCCTTAAGACAGCCCTGTGAAGTAGACCGAGTTCTTAAGCTTAGTGACTGAGGATCATTTTTCACACTTACGACCGTTGCAACCTCCCCGTGGTCACGTGATCAAAATTCAGACCCTTGGCAACTGACTCGTATTTATGACGGTCGCAGTGTCCCGGGGCTATGAGATCCCTTTTTATGACCTTCCAACAAGCAAAGTCAACGGTGAAGCCAAATTCACTTAACAACCTTGTTAAGTTATTATGATTCACTTAACAACTGTGGCTAGGAAGGCCATAAGATGGGGCAGAAACTCACTTAACAGCTGCCTTGCTTAGCAATGGAAGTTGTTGTTGTTGTGTCAAGGACAACCTGTAGCAATTTTTCTCTCCCATTCTCCGCTAACAAGCAGTACTAGAGAGAAATCTTTTGGGGAATACAGTCTGGACCGATGTTGCAATATAGATTGAAAAATGCCAGCAACTAGCTGCCACTTCAGGTTGGTTTGTTTGTTTTAGAATCAGCAAGGTTTAGCAGACGAAGGGGAAGAAAAAAAAATCTACAGCTGGAGGGTGATTTCAGAGTCAAACAATAGACAGCAACTATTTTCCACTAGAGATTTGATTCCAAGGGGTGGCTTTGAAACTTTTCCAAGCCGAATGTGTTAAAAAGCAGCTTGCTATAGGACAGATGTTTGAGGTTGGGTTCTCTCAGCAGCGGATTTTTCAAAGACTCTTCAAGCCGTCGCCTAAAAATACATAATTATGCACTAGGACCTTTAAACCCAACGAGAAGCATATGTCCTTGCCTTTAAAATGGAATTCTGTTCAAACGTTATTTTAAAACAGTTTTTTAAAAAAATACCTGCAATCAAACAGGCATTTCATGAGAGTGGCACCCAATCTTAGAACTGAGTTGGCGCTGAAAGGAGATCAAAAAAGATTTGGGCAGTTGAAAAGGCAGCAAATCACGGGTGGCATTCACTCAAGAAGACGGCTAATTCAGCAATTCGGTTTAACCAAAGTGGATGATACGGGAAGCCCTCGACTTACGAAAATTGAGCCCAACATTTCTGTTGTTCAGTGAGACATTTGTTAAGTGGCTTTTGCCCCATTTTACGATATTTCTGGCTGCAGCTGATCCATGAGTAACATGGTTGAATCTGGACTTCCCATTGACTTTGCTTGTCAAAAGTTCGCAAAAGGGGATAATGCGACGGGTGCACTGCAACTGTCGTAAGTATGAACGAGTTGTCAGGCGTCTGAATTTTGATCGCAAGATCATGGGGCTGCTACAAAGATCCTAAGTGTGAAAAATGGTCCTAGGTCACTTTTTTCAGTGCCATTGTAACTTTGTAGTAAATCCAGGACTATCTGTACTGCCAATAGTTAGTTCTGCCACTGAATGGCAGCTGAAGTCCAATACTTGGCAATACTGTCATTTACAAACGACGTGTTAGGAGAAATTGAGAATTGAATCCTCTCTTCATGCAGTTTTATGATTTGCTGTTCGACTTCTTGTCTTAAATCAGCCCCCCTCTGGATCCTTTAATCCCACCTCAGCCCTCCAGCAAATCCCTGTAAATTGCTCAATTCCTTTCCTCGGAGCTTGAGAATTGTTCCTGGAGAGGAATCCCTCTTCTGTGCCTCTGCATGAGTCTGTCTTCACCTTATCTCCTAATCTCCTGTTGAAATAGGTAGCCTCCCCCAAGAATGTCAAATGGTTCCTCTTTCTTAATGGAATAACCCAGAAGGATCATGCCATTACACAAAACAGTATTAGATAAATTTATTCCACAAACTGTGGGAAGAGCTCATTCTGCGCCTAGGGATCCCCACCCACCTACTTGACTCAAAGAAACAAATTAGGCAGGATTCGAAATTGTGCAAGCAACGAATGTATTTCCGTACTTGCTTGCGTTGAAAAAAAATGTAGTGTTGTGCATCAGACACACACAACAGGAGAGCAGAGCGAGCCCTTTCCTTCTTCAATCCGTTGGTGTTCCCTGCACATCTAAAGTGATGGCTGTAGGGAAAATCATGGAAAGAAGACCAGCGTGCTTAATTATTGAAGAGGGATGACCAGAAAGCTTGTACAGATAAACAAAGGCTTGCATCCTTTTAATCTGTCAGGTGTCCTTGTTAGAGGGATCTCTTTCTGCAGGGAGCTGTGGAATTCACAGAGAAGAGACAGATGTAAAATGTTACATCCTTCCACTAACAAACTGCTTAATAAGCCAGCTTAGAAACTTGTTCTGGTTTTCTATGTAATAGTATTAGCCAAGATACTTCTAGTTCCCAAATTCTGTTCCTCTGAAGACGTGTAGGCTTCTATTCACAAGTTCCCCACAATCCCTGGAATGATCCTACTTAAAACCGAGTTTCTTTTAACATCATCCAACCCCGTCCTCATGTTACTTCAGGACAAGGACAATCTAAAGATGCTGCAAGTCTTTAAGCCAGTATTTGCCAATCTTGGCAACTTTACACTATGTGGACTTCAATTCCCAGAATTCCCTAGCCAGAAATTCATCCTGCACCAACACCACTGTCCTTGCCCTGTAACTGAGCTTCCACAGGCATGCATGGTTTATATCTCACCCCACAAACCTGGTTTATAAAAAAAAAAGAGTTAAAACACACTTATAAGGCTTAGTGCAAAGTGTACATCAAGACTTCAGCCCGGAAGAGATGTTTGGCTGTGTTTAATTAGATTTATTCTCAGGCAATTATCCATTTTGTTCTGAAGAGGTATTTATCCATCCATTTCTATCAGCTTCCCATCAGAGAGAGAATCACAATCTGACACAATGGTTCTACACAGTAACGAAAGGGGATCAAGTGCCTGCTTTTTTTGTGGCTGAGAGTTTAAAAGAAAACTTTTTTACAAAGTCCCTAAGATGTACCGTTAAGGGCACCTCAAAAAAAAAAAAACGAGGTGGAATTTTGCTCCCAAAATGTCCTGCGAGATCTTGGAGAAAGAGAAATGTTTTTTATTTTGGGAAAAAGAAGGGCGAGAAGTCCAAGGCAGACTTTATGAGCAATCAGAGCCAAGAAAAAAAAAGGGGGACGGTCTTTCTTTTGCATCGCAAATGCCAGGCTGCTCAGCCACATAACATATAGGGGGTTTAATTCCCTATTTCTTGCAGAGAGCTCATTCTAAAAAGGGTGTAATTCATTTTTTTCCAGTCCCGGGCCGCACAATCAGCTGCTTCGGCCACTTCCACGAGAGACGCTCCTACGAAGGGAGACGGGGGCTGGGAGATGGGGGGGGACTCAAGCCTGGAAGGAAGGAAGCAAGCAAGCACTTCCTCCCAACTAGTCTGGTCCTGCAAAAAATAAATAAATAAATAAAAATCCTCTGACATCCTCGGCGCAAGAGAGGCAGCCGGTCCCCAAGATAAAAAGCCCAGAAACGCAGCAGGCAAATTTTTCTTTCTTTCTTTCTTTTTTTTCTTTTTCCTTTCTTTCTCTCCTAACCAAGGACGGGGCGGGGGGGGGGGAGGAGAGGAAGGGGATGGGAAAGCAACAAGTGGGGGCCCTGCGATCGCCCTTCTCTCCCCTGCGAGTAAAGTTCCCCGGGCCCAGAAGGAAGAAAGCGCCCCCCCCTCCTTCCTCCTCTCCCCAATATTTTCCCACCGCGGGTGTGCGCGTGCGTGGGGAGAGCCGTGCTTCCTCCTCTCCCCTCCGCCTCCCCCCCTCCCCACCCCCAGCCCAACATTACCTTGCAGGAGTAGGTCTGGTGCACCGGGTCGACGTTGAGGATCTCCTCCACCGTGCCGGTGAGGACGACGTTGGCTTCCTCCTCCCGCCGTTCCAGCTCTTTCTCCGGGCAGCTTCGGCTGCAGCGGGCCGGCCACGAGGCCAGCAGCAGTACCAGCAGCAGCAGCAGCAGCGAGAGCCGGAGAGTAGGAGGAGGCGGCAGGCAGGCGGCGGCGGCGGGGGGCGATCCGGGGAAGCCCTTCGCCCGCCGCATCGCTGCACACAATGGAGGAGCCGGCGAGGAAGCCGGAGTTTGCGCGCCTCCCCCGCGGCGATCCGAAGTTGGGAGGGGAGGCGAGGGAGCCGGAGGGAGAAAGTGCGGCCGGAGGGAGCGAGGGGGGGGGGAGCGGAGAACGGAGAAAGCAGACGGCGGGGGGGAAGAAGAGAGAGAGAGAGTGAGAAAGCGAGAGTGAGCGCGCGCGCGCGCGAGAGAGAGCGAGCGAGCGAGCGAGCTCCGTCCCTCTTCCCGGCTCAGGCTGGCCGCCTCCTCCGGCAGGGGCAGAAAAAGGGCTCCGGCGGGGGCGGGGGGAGCGATTTGCATGCGCTCTGGGTTGCGGAGAAGGGGAAGGAGGAGGAGGAGGAGGAGAAGGAAAGGGGGGAAAGAGAGAGAGAAGAAAGAGAGAGAGAGAGAGAGAGAGAAGGGAAGGGAAGAAAGCCGGGCTGCGCTGCGGCCGCGGGAGGGGCAAAGAGGGAGGGGGGGACCCCGGCAGAGAGAGAGAGAGAGAGAGACCGCCCTTGTCCGCCGCTGGAAACCGAGGCCGCTCCGGTTAATGGCTAAACGCGCCGCCGCTGCACGTGATGTGACTTGCCAAGGTGCAGCGCTGGGCTCCAGGCTCTCCGGGGGCGGGCGAGCGAGGAAGGCGGAGCCCGCGGCTCGGACGGCGCTGCCTGGGCGGAAGGCAGAGAGGGAGGGAGGGAGGGAGGGAGAAGGGAGGGACGGAGGGGGAGGCGCCTCCCGCCGTCTTGTGGCCTGGCGTTCCGCAGGGCGCTCCGAGGATCGCTTGGGAGGGAGGGAGGGAGGCTTTGGAGGAGGAGGGGGCGCCCCCCCAAGGGTCTTGCCCTGGAGTGTGTGTGTGTGTGGGGGGGGAAGGACCCTCCGCCACCCCCGTTTTCGGACGGGTCGGCCGCGTCTCCCTCGGCCACCCACGCGGAAAGTGTGTGTGTGTGTGTGTGTGTGTGTTAGGGTTGCCAGGTCTGCTTCCAAAAAATAGCGGACAAGCGGGGGGGGGCGGGGGGTTAAGTAGTAAAAAAAAAAAGTAGACTGTACAGCTTTAGATTACGTACCGTTTCATCATAAAGCTTTTGAATAAAAAAAAAATGTCCACTATTTTGTGAAAATAAATAGTGAACGTAATGTGAAAAAAGTGGACTGTCCACTCAAATAGTGGACACCTGGCAACCCTAGTTGTGTGTGTGTGTGTGTGTGTGTCGCGCCTGGTAGGGCAAAGCGGAGCGAGCCGATCGCCGTTTCCTCCGGGAGGGTCCCGGTGACTCGCGGCAGCCCCGGCCTTGAAGCAGCGAAAGTCCCCCCCGCGAGAGAGGGGAACGGATGTGGGGTCTGCGTTGGTGGTGACTGTAGTTGGGAAACCTGGATGAGACCTTCCTATGACTGATCGCGGTTAGTTGTGGGGTTGCAGCCGGGTGGAGAAAGCCGGATAAAAAGGGTCAGACTTGGGTTCTTGGTGTTCTCTCTCCATCTGGTGGGGTTTCTGCAGAATCGGAACGTTTCACTCCTGCCTGGAGGAGAGGTTTCCTAGCCCAAACTTCTGCAGGAAAAATTGGAATTTTGTTCCACGAATGATGGAGGGGTGTGCAAATGCAGCCAGGTTCTCCCAGACAGAGAAAGGCCTGGGGGGGGGGGGGATTCTCTCTCTCATCGGTCCAGGCTGAGTTTGGATAATCGGAAATGCAGATTTGGAATGTATTAAAGAAATGGCTGGAAGAAATTTTGCTAATATAGAGGCCAAACCGGATTTTTTTTTTATTGGGAATTATAGAAAGAAAATGTAAGAAAGATACAAATTATTTACTACTGCATATAGTAACAGCGGCACGAATAGCCTTCGCTCAAAAATGGAAAGAGAAAGATATTCCAGGAAAATACTACTGAAAAATTTTCAATTGCGCAGAAATGGATAGACTTACATTGGAACTCAAGGATAAAAGTGAAACTAAGCACTACAAAATCTGGGAACAATTTTATGATTGGATAGATAACAAGAGGGTAGCCAAGACAAATGTATAGTGTTAGAATAAAATATAGATTATAGACAAACGTATATTCAAAAGATAAATAAATATACAGAAATAAGGGAAAAAGTGTTCATATTATATTATAAATAGCGAGCAAAGCTCAAGAACTATATGTCTATATGTGTACTAAGATTACTGTAAAGTGACGGAAGATGTATGGAACCAGTGACGTCATATCTATGTCCAGTGTGTTTTTTAATTTTGTATTATTAATAAAACTCTATTAAATATATATATATATATATGTTGGGGGAAGCCAAGGCTGGCAATTCTGTATTCTGATTCCAACTGACTACCGATATTATAACCAATTTATACAGAGCACTAGAGAGATTGCAGGCTCATATAATATATAATTCCAACATAAATCAACACAATTTCTCTTTTTGGGGGCTGGTAAGTTCAGAGAGGGTGCTTTTCTCAGTACCTGAGATTAGGAAGATGCAGAGAATGTTTGCATGGTATGGTTAAATCAGCTCAGAAAGATGTGGAAGATTCCAGCTGATCACACATTAACCTCATTAGCTTTTTATCCGGGCTTTGTGTGTGNGGGGGGGGGGTGGTTTAAGTAGTAAAAAAAAAAGTAGACTGTACAGCTTTAGATTACGTGCCGTTTCATCATAAAGCTTTTGAATAAAAAAAAATGTCCACTATTTTGTGAAAAAAAAATAGTGAACGTAATGTGAAAAAAGTGGACTGTCCACTCAAATAGTGGACACCTGGCAACCCTAGTTGTGTGTGTGTGTGTCGCGCCTGGCAGGGCAAAGCGGAGCGAGCCGATCGCCGTTTCCTCCGGGAGGGTCCCGGTGACTCGCGGCAGCCCCGGCCTTGAAGCAGCGAAAGTCCCCCCCGCGAGAGAGGGGAACGGATGTGGGGTCTGCGTTGGTGGTTTCTGTAGTTGGGAAACCTGGATGAGACCTTCCTATGACTGATCGCGGTTAGTTGTGGGGTTGGAGGCCGGTAGAAGAAGCCGGATAAAAGGGTCAGACTTGGGTTCTTGGTGTTCTCTCTCCATCTGGTGGGGTTTCTGCAGAATCGGAACGTTTCACTCCTGCCTCGAGGTGGTTTCCTAGCCCAAACTTCTGCAGGAAAAATTGGGATTTTGTTCCCCGAATGATGGAGGGGTGTGCAAATGCAGCCAGGGTCTCCCAGACAGAGAAAGGCCTAGAGTGGGGGGGGATTCTCTCTCTCATCGGTCCAGACTGAGTTGGAAATGCAGACAGTCACAACCGCACAAGCCCTCTTCCTTGTGAAAAATAGTCACCAAGCAAGCCAACAACCCAAGGGAAGAGTGATAATGCAGCAAAAGGAAATCGAAGGTGGAAAAAAGAAGAAAGGCGGCAGTTACGGCTGAAGAAGGGAGAGAGAAAGACAAAAGCAAAAGATTTTTTTCACGCTTCAAGCCAGCCAGAATTGCAACTCGACAACGCCAAATACGAGTTTTGAATTGTGCGGCTGTAGGGAGGAAGAAGAGGTAGGGACGATCTGAATGAAAGGACTCAGCTCAGCTTAAAGTGAAACTTTGGACCCAAGGTGGCTGTCAATCAATCCGGGAGGAATCTGAACTCCCATCTTTGGAGTAGCCCACTGACCACCAAAAGAGCAATCAAAGGCCCCTGGCCTTGCCATGTCTTATTGCCATGTCTTATTGCCACTGTGTCTTATTGCCACAGTTCCCCCACTCATCCTTGGTTATCCCTAATCTTTCTTTCTTTCTTTCTTTCTTTCTTTCTTTCTTTCTTTCTTTCTTTCTTTCTTTCTTTCTTTCTTTCTTTCTTTCTTTCTTTCTTCAGTGTCCCTTCCCTTCCCTTGCTTCCTCCTCTTTCTTTCCCCTCCCTCCCTCCCTCTCTATTCCAGAGGTCTTCAAACTTGGCCCTTTTATGACTTGTGGACTTCAGCTCCCAGAATTCCTCAGCCACCACTGTTTCATTTTATTTGATCCACAGAAATCTTTTCAGTCAACACTTCCTGCATCGCTTCAGTTTTCAAGTGGGTCTTTTCTTGTGGGGCTGAAGGGGCGCTAACTTTGTGAAAGCCCCTTCCCAAAATCTTTGAGGGGGACGTAATGGGGCCTACCGCCCAAAAGTCAAATTGGTCAAAAGCAAAAAAGAAGACACACTTTTCCCTTTTAGACTATTGGACCAAATGTACCAGACTGGTACACTGCAAGAAAGGATGGCTTATTTTAATTGCATAAATAAGTCAATGAACTGGGTTCATGGCTTACGTGCCGTAATAAACCATGGTAGACAAACCACAGATTCGTACAAAACTATTAGCCACAAACAATGACTTAATATGTTAGGTTACTCTAGCAACTTCCTATAAGGAAAACCTTTATAAGATGTTTTATAGGTGGCACCTCCCTCCCACAAGATTAGCACGAATGAATAAGAGGAAATCCCCGATATGCTGGAAGTGTGGAGAGACCGTTGGGAATTACTACCACATGTGGTGGGAATGCCCAAAGGCACACAAATTTTGGAATTTATTAAAGAAATGGCTGGAAGAAATTTTGCTAATAGATATAGAGGCCAAACCGGAATTTTTTTTAATTGGGAATTATAGAAAGAAAATATAAGAAAGATACAAATTATTTACTACTGCATATAGTAACAGCGGCACGAATAGCCTTCGCTCAAAAATGGAAAGAGAAAGATATTCCAGGAAAATACTACTGGAAAATTTTCAATTGCGCAGAAATGGATAGACTTACATTGGAACTCAAGGATAAAAGTGAAACTAAGTACTACAAAATCTGGGAACAATTTTATGATTGGATAGATAACAAGAGGGCAGCCAAGACAAATGTATAGTGTTAGAATAAAATATAGATTATAGACAAACGTATATTCAAAAGATAAATAAATATACAGAAATAAGGGGAAAAGTGTTAATATTATATTATAAATAGCGAGCAAAGCTCAAGAACTATATGTCTATATGTGTACTAATATTACT